GGAGCCGCCGCCCCCGCACACCTGGCCGCCCGACTCCGCGCCCCGCCCCGCGCTCCTGCGCAGCTGGTCCTCGTCGCCGCCGCCGCCGCCGCCGCAGCGGGAGCGCCGCTGGGGACCTAGCGGGAGAGCCAGGCCGGCTGGCCCGGCGCCTCAGCCACTCCCCCCGCCCTAGCACCGCCCCGCCCCGCCCCGCCCCGCCCCACTCCGGGGTGAGACTCCCCTCCGCGGCCGCCTCCAGCCTGCAAGCCTATCCCTGACCCTCCCTCAGCTCTAGATGGACTCGCTTCTCTCCGCTTCCTCATTCGTCTCTGAATCTCTAGGTTTGTCGTTCTGTCTTGAACCGTCTGTGCGTTTGCTCATGCGGTGTGTCACCATCTCAGGTCCCTTCTTTTTTTTCCCTCCTTCCCACTGCCAACCCCTTCTAATCTACCTGTGGATCTGTCCCCACAGGTGAAACCACCTCCCACCCCAGATGCAGTGCCCCAACTCCTTCACCTCAGCCTCAGTGGCCCCAGTAACTCTCCTTTGGAAGGAGCCTGAGCTGTCCCTTGACTTGGTTAGTGGCCTGGGTGGGGCCCCGTGCCCATCTTCCCTTTGAAGGGGACACCACTGACACTGAGCTGGAAACACCCCTTTCCCTGGTAGTGTCTGTGCACATCAGTCACACAGGGATGCTGGTAAAAGCCCATATTCCCACATTCCCCAGACCCTCCCACAGGGAGGGGTCGGTGGTCTTGGGAACAAGACTGCTGACAAGCACCGTTCGCACCCCTAGCAATTCTGAAGCAGGACCACGCTTGAGAAAGTGGTAGCCTTGGTTTCCATGCAGTTTCCCTGGTCTCGTGGCTTCTACCAGGGTGGTTTCACACTCATCTGTCTTCTGCATCAAGAGCATTGTTTAGGTTTCTGCTACAGGAAGTTAGAAATATGCTGATGCTTGCCCACTCCACACTCTGAAATATGGACCCATGGGTGTTGGGGTTGAGGACATTCCGTGTCCCCAGTGAGTGGGCTCAGAGGTACAGGTCGGTGACCGAGGAGACAAGCCCTCTCTGGCCCTCCCATCCCTTGGCCTGGCCTTGCAGGCTCCAGGGAATTCCTCTAAGCCTGTGGCTGCTCCTGTCCTAGTGTACCAAGGTGGGGGATAGGAAGGTGGTCCTGGAGCTTGTCACCAGGCAGGGAGCTGCTTACACAGAGTGTAGCATGGGCTGGGGGAATAGCTATAGCAAAGATGTGGGAAACCAGGAAACAAACTGTGTGGGTGAGAGGGAGAGAGAGAGGCGCTAGGATTATTGTGTGGGTGGGTATGAAAGAGAAAGAGGGAAAGAAAGAACGAAAGTGGTTTGGTCTTTACGTAGGTGTTTGACAGTGGGTGTGCAAGAACGGATATACCTGTAGGAGAGACTATGAATGCAAGAGAGCTCAAAATGTAGGTGTGCAGCAAAGGAAAATGGAAAACAGAACATGCTGTTAGCCTGAATCTGCAGGAAGGAGCACACGCATACACATGCTTGTGCAGTGTTTCCAGGTGGCACTGTACCTCTGCAAATCAGCCTGTGACATGTGTCCCCATGTGATGGCCATGATACACAAGGGAGTCTTTGGGAGCATGTTCGCCTGTGTCCAGTTGAGGGCATTCACACGTGTGCAGATGTGAAAGTTCATACGTGTGACAATATTTCCATAAGAACAGGGTGTGTATACATCCTGGGTGTATAGGAATGTGTCTATGGATGCAAGTGATTGTGTCTGTTTGAGTGTATGGTGAGGCACTGGGAACCTGTAAACAGTGCTCCCACCAGCACCCCCTGCTGTGGCCACTGCAGGGCTAGGAGTGGGAAGGGAATGGGCAGCTTCTTGCCAGCCTCCTGCACTTTCCAGCCTATCTCCCAGGAGCCTGAGGAGCAGGCCCTTGTCCTTGGCCTGGGGGACCATGATCAGCTCTCAAGTTGGGCTAAGGCTCCTCCATCAAGATGGATGTGGCTCTAGGGGGCCTTATCTGACACCTAGACCCACGCCCCCTCTGCGCCCCTATCTCTGAGGCTCAGGGCAATGTCCACTGGACTGGAGGTCCTGCAGATTCTCTAGACACCTCCACCCCAATAACAAACTGCATCAGCAAAGGAGGGCCTGGATCAGCAGTGGGTCCCAGGTGTCCCCAGTGCACCTAAAGGGGCTGGAACGTAGCTGAATCCCCACTTACTCCAGAGCCTGAGGTACCTTTTTCCACCTCCAAGTGGAAGTAAGAACACAGCCTGCTGCCTCGTCTCCATAGAGGGTGCTTAAAAGCATAGTCCTAGACCTCTCAGGATTCAAACCCTGGCTCCTACACCCACGGGTTGTGAGACTGACACTTCCCTTAAACTTCTTATGCTTTAGTTTCCTCCTCTGTAAAATAGAGATAAAAGTATAAATTTCACAGGGCTGTTTAGATGAGATGATATAATCCATACAAAGCATTTAGCATACAGCCTGGCAGCTGAACTGGGAAGCCCAGATTTCCAGCCTTTAGCTCTGCCACCAATTTACAGTATGATTTTGGGCAAATTGCTTGGCATCTCTGGGCTTCAGAATCTCTATCTGCACATTAATCTCCGTGAGCTCTGCCAGGCATGACCAATTGAGACTTTGTGCAGAGGGTGGCTCTGGGTTTCTTAGTGAGCTGTAGACCAGCCCTTGTTCCCCTGAGGCCTGATCAGGAGCCCAGTGTTACACTTTCCTTCCCACCCATATTCTCCCAAATAGCAGCAGCTGGTGGCTGCTACCCACATCCGTTTGTGCAGCCCTCCCCCTCCAGCCTGCCCTCTCAAATCTTAGAGAAAAAGTGTCAGTACCCACTGACCCCAAATAAAAGTCTCTGCAGTGCCCAAGGCAGATGATGTCAAGGCTCATTTTTAACATGGCACTTCAGAGAGGTGGGGATCTTTTTGGAAGGATGGGGGTAACTGTCTGGAGATACTTCTAATCTGGCAGGGATGGGAGGAAGCTTTCAAAGGAAGCCATAAACCATTAACAACCTAGTAGTTCCACAGGCTTTTCTTTGGAGCTTCAGGCAGAGGAAAGGACTCTGGCCACACCCTTTCCCCAGGGAGCAGGAAGGCATGTATGGCTCTAACCCAGCACCTCCTGGAGTTTGACTCTCTGGCAAGATCCAGCTTCCTTCCTGCCTTCACCTCTGAGAATTCTTCCCTGTCGCCGCTGTCCTCTTGAGGTTACTCTTGCCCCTTTTGTCCTAGACTGTTTGGGCCAGAACATATAATTCCAGAAGAGCACAAGCCCCCAGTTTAAAACACCAAGGTTGAATCATGATGTAGGAGCTTGCTACCCCCACATCTTGGACAAATCACTTATATTCTCTGAGATTCAGACTTCTCATCTGTATAGTGGAGATAATAACAGTAGGTCCCTTGTGGAGATTGCCACGAGATCAAGGAAATAGTACTAAAGCTCTTAGCACAATGGGCTTAGCACATCAGGACTCAACAAACAGCTGTTGTATTGTTGAGCTAAAGATGATCATTTCAATTATTAATAATATCCCTACCTAGAGTACTGTAAAATTTCCCTGACACTGCAATATCTGAGATCACTACAGCCTCACAACAGTTCTATCAAGTATGTAGGGCTTATGCTTCTATTTTATTTTCACAGATGAAAAAGATGAAAGCTCACCAAGGGCAAGGGACTTGCTCCGGTTTGGTCAGTAGACTGTAGGTACAGAAGCAGCACACACACACACTACCACCCTCACCACCACACATACCCTGTCTCCTGACCCCAGCTGTGATCTGTGCGAAGGGAGGGAGCAGGTCCTGGGGGGCTTTGAGTTCCAGGGGACTTGTATTTGGCTCCCTCAGAGGTGAGGATCCACCTCCCAATTTAAGACTGCTGAGCCTGTAGTCCTCCTCCCTGCTCAGAGGCATTAAGTTCTCTTCTTTCTCCCACCCAGCTCCCTGTGTGACCCAAACCTGGCCGGGAACTGCATCCATGGGGGGTGATCAGAGCCTGGAGAGAATTATTTCAGAGAGCAGAGTGGGTGGAAAGGCTGGTGAGATGCCAACCAGGGCGTCAGCAACGCCTGCAGAGAAATGAAGTGTTCCTTCAGTTTCCTGGCACACAAGCCCTCCCAGGACTGTGTCTCCCCCACACCCTGCACCCCCGGGATCTGCTGGCAGCAGCTCCTGTGAGTTGAGCATGGTCCGGCTCACATCCTCCCCATCTGGACCCACTTCAACGTTTCCATGGGCCGGCAGTGGAGGTGATTCAGTGTGGGCTTCCCGCCCCACCCTGTACTGCAGGAAAATGATTCTCACTCCCTCCTTCCTTCCATGCTGCACATACACACGCACACACACACACACACACACACACACACACACACACACACTGAGCCTCCATCGGCTGTCATTGGATCCCATTGCAGCCCAGGTAACATGGCTTTTGCCTTTGTCATCTCTAACAGATGGGACACCGAGGCCGAGGAGTGGAACATATTGGGCCCAGCTCAGCCACTACTATGGTGAGTGACCTGCACCACTGTCACTCACTCTGGGTCTCAGTTTCTCCACAGCGCAGCATTAGCTCAGAGGCGCCCTCTCCACCTTGCAAGCTCATGAAGGTAGAGACCACATCTGTTCTATTTAGTGCTGCACCCCAGCATGTGGATCCTGCCACCCCCGCTGCTTGGGGTTTTACAGTCACTTGTTACCACTGATGACTGGGGGCCAGATGAGAGTAGAAATGGACGGTTTTTTTCAAGTACACATGATAACAGCTTTCTCTCGATGCCTTCTCACGTGCCCTCTGTGGCAGACAGAAGTGAGGTCACATGTGGGACAGCGGGACCACACGTAACTTGCAGCCGTTCCTCTCCACAGCTGTTAATCTGGGCCCGTGTGTGAGACTGTGATGGATTATTAGCCATCATGGGAAATATGCCCAAGGCACATGCTTAAGGCCTACGGAGTTTCCTGTCACCCTGGAGAGAAAGGAATGCTTACCTGGTTTCTGGGCCACCCTGAGCTCAGGACCAGGACTGGGGCTGGATATCATCACCCTCCGGGCTGTCACCACATCCCAATCCTGGCTGGACCTATCGTCATGCTGGGTCCCCCCTTGGGCTTCTCTGGAGCAGCTGGATGGCCAAGTGCCCAGGATTCTGGTCAGCTGTGGGACCTCTTGTGTGGCTCTGCAGGCCACCTTGTCCTCTTCAGGGTCCGTGAGCCCCATCTCTCCCTGTAGGCCCTCTTCGCTGCTGCTCTCCTCTGCCTCCAGAGCCAGACACCTATAGCTCCCATCAGGGATCTGAAAGCTGCAGGAGGAAGGTGTCCCTTCGCTGGGCCCAAGGGCTGGGGGTGGGAAGTGAGGGCCCAGCATGGTGCTCCTCTCCTTGGTGACAGAGAAGCCAGCAGGACCTTGGCTGGAGCCACTTGTGTGAGCACTGCTCCTGTAGCCCTTGGCTCTCTGTAGATCTGTCTTCCTCTGCTGACTGATTCACAGAGCTGAGGCAAGGTCCAGCTGAGAGGTAAGATAAGTCCTTCCCGGGCTGGGTAAAGTGGTGGCCCCAACACCTCCTTCTTAACACTTCTTGACCTCGGTTGTGTGAGGCCCCTTCAGGGCAGGCGATCTACACAGGCAGGAAAGAGACAGCATGTGAGACAGCTCACTCAGTATCCTGGGATGAATTTCTGAGACCTGTCCATCTTTGGGTGACCCTGAGAACTTGCTGAGGTTTGGGATTTAGGACAGACAGAAATTTCCACAGGGAAGTGTTTCCCAGGCTTCAGTCACAAAACACCTTAGATTTGTACTATATCCTTCTGCTACTTCACACTATTGACTTACTATTTCTCCATCAATGTTAAATAATGTACTTCTATTCCTTAGATTTATCTTAAGCAATAATTGCAGGAAAACCACAAGTATATTGTGCTAAGTCATTTTTGTTGCACATTAAACAAATATCTAGTTATTTAAAAATACTTATCTGGGCACCAACTAGAAAGAATTCTCTTACATTCTACCAAGGGTACATATACCACAGGAATCACAGGAATTGTGGGGTGGAGGATGGAAGACTGGGGACAAGCACCCCCTGAGGAGGTTGTGAGAGACAGCATGAAGGGGTGCTTACATGCTCTGGCTCCGGGTTAGAATCCCAGATCTGCCACTTGTGTACTGGTCTCAACTTCCACTTCCCCAGCTGTGTACAATGGGTACTGTAATAACAACACTGGAGCATTGCTAACTTGAAACCCCAAAATTCTCCCTAACCCAAAACTTTTTTGAGCATCAACATGATACCACAAGTCCAAATTCTACACCTGACCTCATGTGGCAGGTTGTAGTCAAAACACAGGCACATTAAAATTATTGTGTACAATTATGGTCAGGCTATATACAGAACAGGATGCCTCAGTTCACAAACACTTCTGTTTGCAAACAATTCGGTTCACAAACAAAAACATTGGGAAAAATTCTCTACATTGAGTGACAAACATGACCACAGCCACCTTTCCCACTCAAACACAAATGCAGCAATCTTCCCCCGAATCATAAAACAAATTAAGTTCCTAAACCAAGGTACCACCGCATATAAACCATATGTGAAATTGAATTTCATATTTATACTTGGGTCCCACCCCTAAGATATCTCTTTATGTATATACTAATATTCCAAAACATGACAAATTTTGAAATCTTAAACATATCTGGTCCCAAGCATTTCAGATAAGAGATACATAACCTATCTCTCCAACTTAGTGTTGCATTAAGCAGTAAATGAGAAAATGCTTGCAGAGGACTCTGTACAGTTTCTAAACCCTGACTTAACATGTGTTGGCTATTCTTTCATCCCACAAAAATTTGTTATGCTCTTATTCTATTTCAGATACCATAAAAACTGCTGTGACAATGGTGAGGATAAAGAAGATATGGTAATCGGGCTCTTGAAGCCTTAAAATCTGGAGAGTTGTGAATGATAAGAACAATAATTGTATAATACACATAAATGTTAAGAATGATGGTAATCAGGAAAGGGGGTGTAGGCTCCCTATAAGAGACTGTGAGGTGGGATGGATGGGAGAGATACTTGGGTGGACGCACTGGCTGGGCTCGGAGGCAGATGGCAGTGGGAGCGGAGGGAGGGAGGGAGAGAGAGGAGTCTGATACAGCGCAGGTTCCCCGCTCTGGCAACAGAGTGATGTTGTCTAATAGAGATTAGGAACAAATGGGAAGGAGCAAGTGTGCGGTGGAGCAGGAAGATGAGTTTGGTTTTTGGGTTTCAAGGGAAGATGATCAGGGGCCAGTTTTACCTGGGGCCCTGGAAAACAGGGGAGAGCTCTGGGGGAAAGACAAAGGTTTGGAAATCACTTGTGAAGGCACATAAGAGTCCCCAGGCTGGGCAGATAGCACTTAAATCAGAGCTCCTGGTGATTACACTTGGGAGTAGCCCTGGGAATGAGCAGATCTTGTTTAAAGACTCAATTCTACCCCTACTTAGCCGCATGGACTCTGAATCTCACACATCCTGTTGCAAAATGCAGGAAAAGCTCACAGGCCCACGGGCATCCCTGTGCATAGTGAGAATCCTGAGCCCTGAGAATATCTGTGGACATGGATGGCCTCAGGGCCTGGGCTGGCTTCAGCACAGTGCCCCGCCTCTGCCCCAGCAGGGGTCAGGCCTCCCACCGTAGCCTTGGCCTCTGGCTGGGGCTGTGCCAGGAGTCTGGTAGGCAGGTGGAGAGATAAGTGCATTACTAGCCCTAGGGCAAATCAGAGCCAACCAGGGGAAAGGCAAACAGACGTCAGGAACAGAAAGATAACCAGGCACCTATTACAGCTGCCTCCATGGCAGGAAAATCAGGAGAAAGAAGCCAGCCTGGAGCCCAGGAGAAGGATGTTAGTTTAGAACACTAAGCACCTACTTCCTCCTGGGATCTTTGCTTAGGTTCTCGCCGCTGTCAATTCTCACAACCACTGCCTGGGACAGATACTTCATTATTATCCCATCTCAGAGGTTAGGAAATTGAGGCACAGATAGGTAAAGCAACACAGCTAGAAAGGGACAGGGCTGGGATCCAAACTTAGCTCTGTCTCCTTGACCATGAAGCTGGACCCAGGGACGAAGAAGAGATGGCTCCAGTCCCTCATTCCTCTCCAGCTAGCTGTTGTCACACTCACTAGCTGCTGCCAGGTTTCTGCTGTTCAAGTTTCAGAGAATCTCATAAAGGGCCGGTAGAGACCTGGACACCTGACTGGCTGTATGACCTGGGCAGGTGCCTTCTGTGCTCTGGAGTCAGTTTCCCCAAGGGTGCAATGCAGACCGAGGCAGATGGAGCAGGAGGGGCTGTGGGACTGTGGCATTGCCCGATCTCCTGATGCTAACCACTTGCAGCCACCCACCCTGCCCCCACCACAGAGCCAGATGGCAGAGGCAGCAGGAGTGGGCGTGGGGAGGGGGCAGGGCTCTCTGACTCCTCGCAGGGGCCTCTCCTCACTCTATCCCTGCTTCTGTTTTGCTGTATTTGACGGTGGCCACGGTTTCCAGGAAAGAAGAGAGAGGCGGAAAAGTTAACTTTCCGCCACCCACACAAATATTTTTGGCTGCTGTTGTCTTCAGGCTGCCAAGCCAGGAGGGAGGGGTTGGTAGGAGCACTCCAATTCAATGCTCTCTGGAGGAGGGAGGACTCCCAACCCAGTGGGGGGTTGAGGGTCAGGCAGGCCCTGTGCAGGCCTAAGCCCTGGAACAGCCATCCCTGCCTATGAGTAGCAGGGTCCAGGATCATAGCAACAGTGGTAGCTGCCACTTTTCTGAGTAGCTGCTGGTGCTGGACTGAGCCCTTTACCTAACACTCCTCTAAGGAAACTGAGGCACAAAAAGGCAAACACAGTACCCAGAGCTGGTGTGTTGTGAGGGGCAGAGCCGGGTGTGAATCAAAGCTGCTGGGGTCTGCACTTTTCCATGTTTCTCTCAGGGGCTGCAGACTTTGGCTCCAGGGACACTCACCCCCTCAAGTCCCCGAGGTGCTAAGCGCAGATGGTAGGTCCATCTGTTTGGGCAGATTTCTGCAGGCAGGAGAGGGCCCACCCCAGCCCAGCAGAAATGAGAGAGGGTCCCCTGAAGCTCTAACTCCATGCCTACTCACAGCCACACCCCTCATCTGGCCACAGGCTCTAAACTCCCGAGCCCTGGCAGGCAAGGTGGATGGAGCCACCAGACTCCAAGGGTGTTCTCACCTCCAAGGGCAGTTCTGAGGTCATGTTATACCAACAGCGAATGGCCCTGGAACCCAGAAACCGGGAATTGTGGCCTTGAGACCTTCACATCCCTTCTGCTGCTCTCTATGTGATGAGGAATGGCCCAGGATTAGAGTCAGATCCAGGTTCAAATTCTGAGCCCACCTCCCAGTGAATGTCTGGCTAAGTCTGTTATTTTTTTGAGCTTCAGTTTCATTGCAAAATGGGGCTTGGGAACAGGACTGACTTCCCAGGGCTGCTGTAGGGATTAATGGACAAAACAGGCTCATGGCAGAACAGAAGCCATTTTTCTTTGTGTTGCTCACCTGCCAGGCTTTTGGGCCAAGTGCTTGGCTCACACAGCCTGCAGTTAGTGGAAGGCCTCCCTTGGGTTCCCCACAGACCAAGAGAGCAAGCGATGTGGCCACAGGGAAAGGTAAAAGGGGTGACAGGTGCTGAGCATGAGGGCCCATGACACAGTCCTTGTTTTAACTCTCCGATTGACTCAACAAGTCATGTTAAGAAAATGTCAAGATCTGATTCTCCAGGTGCAAGACAAAAGTAGGCTGAGAAGGGAGAACCTAGGAAGACTAGACCCTCATTTCTCCAAAGGCTCATCCACCAGAAGTCTTTCTACTTGACCTCTTTCCACCTGCAGTCTCTTCCTGTGTCTGTGCTATATAGGATTTAATCCATTTTCCTGCAGTTTTACTTTGAATGTGTTGCTCACCTGCTCAAGAGCATTCTCTAGCTCACCATTGCTCACAGAATAAAGCAAAATTACAAACAAAAGGAAAAGCAAGTTCAAAGGAAAATTTCATGATTCTTGGTTGAGAGGAATAAAGGAAAGCTTCCTAAGGGAGATAATCTGTAAGGCCCAGTGAAGGCAAGAAGGAGGGACCACTGGGGCTTGCATAGATTGAGGTTGGGGTGTGTATGCAAGGTAGAGGTGGATAAGACTGGAAGATGGGGACCAGATTGTGACAGGCTTGTATCTAAATGTCCCCCCAAAGCTTCATGTGGTCATAGGTGGGGCTTTTCAGAGGTGGCTGGATCTATGGTGTGTGCTGCTGGGATCAAGGATTGATTCTTGGTGTGATGCTAGGATTAAGGCTTCCCCACCCTTGATATGAGCCTGGGTAAGATATAAGGGACAGAGAGAGGGTTCTTACTTATTGTTTACTGTTTGATGCATGCTGCCTTCTGCCTTCTGCCCACCATGAACTGTTTCTCCTCTGAAGTGCCTCTCTGTGATGCCACCCTGCCATGGAGCCAGCCAACTATGAACTGAAACCTCTGCAAACTGAGCTAAATAAACCTCTCCTCCTTTAATTTTAACTGGGTATTGGGTGTTTTGTCTCAGCAATGAGAAAAAGTAACTAAGACCCT